GGTTAATCCCTCAAGGGGCTTACTTCTTCTTTCATCTGAAGTAAATTACTTCTTCTTAAGTGGCTTAATTCTTCTTAACTCGTCTGAAGTGAATTACTTCTTCTTATTTCGTCTCAAGTACTCAGTTCTTTCATTCATAAAACATAACAAAAATATAAACCAAACATAAACAAAAACATAATTTCATTTAATGCAATTAAAATATTACAAAATGTTTAAATATTCTACAAAAAGTAAAAGCAACAAAACAAAGTTAATTCTCTGCTGGAGGAGGTGGCTCCACTAGCTCCTCTTCAGCTGGAAGAGGTGGCTGTCTTGGCTGCTGCTCGTTTGGCAGAGGAGGCTGATCATCATCAGAAGGAACTGGATGAATCTCCACTTCTGGAATTCGTTGGCTCTCATCCACTCCAGCTCCTTCCACTCCTGCCTCCACCTCATCTTCCTCTACCTCTGCCCCTCCTTCTTCCACTGCCACGAACTCGAAGTCAAAGTTCGGAGGGAAAACAGTGCGTCCATCAGCATCATGCTCCCACTTCAGTTTGATTTCTGGGCGGAAGTCTGCTGACATACTTTCACCATCTTCCTCCACTCCAGCTTCTTGCTCTCCAAAGGTTATCCTTGTTACATCCACTTTGGGATAAACAGTCTTGACCTTCTTTCTGCAGTCCGTGAAGGCAATGATGGCAGTTGGCAGTCGGTAGAGGTTGACGATGTTGTCAAACGAGCTAGAGCTGATGAAGTTGCTGATGTGCTCCTTCATCCCATTGTGCACCAAGGTCTGCACATTCCCCTTCAGCTCCAAGAAGGCCTCCTTCGTCAGTTTCAACTCTTGCGCCAGAGCCTCACGCTCGCTTTCAGAGATCTTTCGCTTGGTCTCTTCAAAGCCGAGCTTGGTGCCCAAGGAAGCCCTCTCCTGTTCCAACTGCTTCAGAGTTGGCACCACCTCGTCCAGCGACCCTTGCAGCTCCTTATTCTTCTTCTCCAGCTCTTCCTTCTCCTTCTGTAGCTGGTCACACTGCCTCTGCAAGCGTGCGCGCTCCTTTGTGCTCTCCCTGAACTCCTGGGCTAGACCATTCACCCAGCTCGCGTTCTGCAAATCAAAGCAGAAGTTCAAAGAGAAAGAAGAGAAGAAGAAACAGCATAAATAAACAACATTACTAATTTAACATACCTCCAGAGCGTGCCTCACCACGGACGCTCCACTGTACCTCAGAGCTTCCTCCCGCGCGAAGCGTTGGTCCACTTCGGGGAAGGTGTTGTGGATGAACCACCTAGCCCCCATCATGTTATTCGCCTCGAATAGGCTGCTCTGAGGCCCCAGTGGGGGAATAGGGCCCTTTCCCTTGCCAGGAGCTCGTACCTCAGCCCCCTCCTCCAACCGTCTGAGCTCAGGGTTCAGCTCCACAGGAGGAGGCTGAGGAACGAACTCAGGCACCTCATTCCCCCTCTCCTCCTCTACCACCTTCTTCTTCTTCTCCAGTGCCCTCCTCTCCTCCCAACCCTTTCTCTTCAACGGTGGCACCTCCTCCCCCGTCTCAACTGAAGCAGTGGGCACTACCTCCTTCCCAATTCTCCCCTCATCCACTTGTTTGGTTGAAGTCCTTGACTTCTTCCTTGGCTTCTTGGGGATAGCCTTTCCTCCAGCTGTGCCCAAAAATTGATTCATATCAGCTGCAAAGCAAAAAACACACTATTAGTCACAATTCTATGTTCTACATTTAACGCTACAGTTTATGTTAAACAAACCTTCACTCAGAGCGCTTGGCCCATAGAGCTCAGCAGCCTCTATGCATGCTGCGCTGGTGAGGTCCATGATGTTCAACACATCCCCCCTCTTCCTCTCCAACCTCCCCACTTCCTCCTCCTCATCCTCAGTTAAGCTAAACCTATTCTGGTTGGCCCTTTTGGCCTTCCAGGAAGCTAACGCCCTCACCTCGGCATCTCCCTTCCCCCACTCCGTATCATCCACAAAAAAGAATTTTTCCTTCCATCCCTTAATGGATGAAGGACCCGCTGTAAATAAAATCCTACCCTCCTTATTAGCTACCCTCGGGGTGAAATAATACCACCCCTTATCTCTCTTGCTACTCCCCTTTAAAACAAAAAAATACTTAAACATATTTACAGTTGGTACGCTAATTCCCTGAGCTCGGCAATAAACTAAAAAACCTATTATTACCCTCATTGCGTTGGGAACCAACTGTGTCAACCCTATGTTGTAATCTAACAACAAACCTATCAGCAACTCAGGAAGTGGAAACCTGAGTCCCGCCATCAAGTAGTGGAAATACACAGGCATCCAGTGATCCCAAGGAGCAGAACATGCCCTCTCCTCTACCCCAGCTGGCCTAACTAATACCCGAGAAGAGATCTCGTACGTTTCTACTAAGTGACACAGGTCATCCCTGGTCCTTAGTTCAGATCGGTACTGCTTCACTTCCTCCACTATCTCTGCGTTCCTATCATAACCTCTCTCCCCATTACTTTCTACTTCTACTACGGTGATGGGTATGCTATCTACCCCAATCCCCATCACCCCATCCCTCCCAACCTCTGCCACCTCATTCCCCCCAACTTCCACCACCTCATCTCCTCTCACCCCCTCCACCGTTTTCTCCGAACTGGATGGAGATGGACTACTCTCTGCGTCCATACTCCCATAATCCAGGGGCTCCACCTCACTCCCTACTA